ATTCCTATTTCTCTCAGATGCAAAACCTTCATACAATCCTAGGATTTTCTGAATTGCCTTACCTATAGTAGAAGCCCCAAACCTTTTATTTGTGGACACTTGGAATTTTGAAAGTATGTTGTGGGGACTCTCACAGAAAGGTAAGCTTGGGCACTGACAAAATATCTATCCATTAGAAGGCTAACTAGTGGGTTGCTCCTTATCACCCCTAGCTTCCCAACTGACCTCAGTTCTCTTTTTTCCTGAGTGAAAGGGCATATTTCCAAACAAAGCAGTTACCATTTTATTTTTCTAACAATGCCTCTTGGGTTTATGTAACATCCAAAATATATTTTATGCATAAAGCTGGTCCTCTGCACTATCAGATTAGTTTCATATTTTGAAATATTTTTTAAAATAGTATGTAGAAAATCAGATAAGCAGAAAGCCTGGTGGGCACCAAAGAAGTTGATGATGCACACACTGGCACTCATGGGGACCCTTTAACTATGATTTTGTAGACTAAAGTGAGTTTTATATTGAGGAGCAACCTCAGTTGCTCCAAACTATATACAAACAGGAAAGTGCTGGTGAAAGCAGCTTTTTAAAAATCTCCTTGTCCCATTTAAAATATGCTCCCAAGGAAATGAAATTGCATCATTCTTGAAATAGTTCAGAATCAGGAACTCAGGTGCATAAATTGGCAGGATGTCATTGAAAGCCAAGGGACTGTGCTCCATTCCATTCCATCTTTTCTATTGAAAGATGGTAGTTCTTGAATGGTGAAGCTGAGTAATCAATGGCTTTGCATGCAATGCCAAACACTTTGCAGATACTATCTGTTGTACAAGTGTCACGGGCAATTTAACAGAAGATTTCTGGCCATTCTAGTTACTCTGATAATGTCAGCAACAAAAAGATAACCTTGATGTTGGCTGCTGTTATGCAAGAACTGCCAAAGCTTGGCCTGCTCTTTACTGCTGCAGTATTTTAACCTAAATAGCTTCTGACACATTGTTGGCACTGCACACACTTGGGGAAAAAAATGTTAGAATAAAAAACAATTGTAAAGCCTCAGATTTCCATTGTTTGGAAAAGGAGGTGTCAAAATGAAGTGTGACTGGTTACCAAGTTGCTTTACAGCAGAGGTGGGGAACCATGGATCACCTATGACCTCAAGCCCTCTTTTTTGCAACCCCCAGTCACACATATTGAATTTTAGTAGCAAACCAATGAGAAATTGAAACAACATCCAAAGTTTTGTTGGAAATAAATGAAAAGCAGGAGCATAATCTTCCTTTAGGCTTATAAAAGACCCCCCCCCCAGCACCATCCAGTCATCAAAACACCTCTACTGCAATCAAAGTTTTGTTGGAAATAAATGAAAAGCAGGAGCATAATCTTCCTTTAGGCTTATAAAAGACCCCCCCCCCAGCACCATCCAGTCATCAAAACACCTCTACTGCAATCCTGCTGTATCCATAATAATAACATTAGTACCACCCAGTCACAGCAAGTCTTTGCTCCCCCACCAGAGCTAAACCCTCCAAATATTGTCAAGCCCACCTTACAGTGTAAAACAATGAAGAAATGAAATATTCATATATTTTTTACTTAATATGCCCAAGGTAGTAAATGTTTTCAGATAAAAATCAATTAATTACTTGGTACAGATATTGGAATAACCAATCATCCCAATATCTGTACTGAGAAAAACTACTACCTGTGCTTATTGTGCAATATTGTGCAAATTAAGTATTGTAAATTGTATATAATGGAATGGCTTCTGCCAAAGAATTCTACATAGAAATTCTGTCTCCTATATCACCTCTCCACAGCCCTATTTTTTATGGTTCCACCACGAATTGCCTGCATCCTTTCAAGTCTTAAGGACTAGGAAATTGTTCTTCAAGAATGAAAATAAGACTT